AACACTTCTGAAGCACCTGAACCATCAATTTTTGTTGTCTCCTACCAAACTGGCAGGAGGCGGGGGCTGGAAGGTGGAGCTTCCCCTGTCTGCTGACTCCCTGAATCTCTGCATATCTCAACTCAAGGCAATGATTGATGAATGGATCTTAGGCATGGTAGGGCATGTCTATAATCCAGTGCTTGGGAAGCTCAGGCAAGAGGATCATGAGTTCAAGACCAGCCTTGCCGGGGAGATGGCTCAGTAGAATAAGCGCTTCCCTGGCAAGTGCAAGGGCCTGAGTTCAATCCTCGGTTCCACCAAAAAAAAAAAAAAAAAAAGAGCAGCCTTGGTAACTTAGCCAAACTATCTCAAAAATACAAAGGTCGGGTTGGGGAGATGGATCAGTGGAATAAGTGCTTCCCGGGCAAGCACAAGGGCCTGAGTTCAATCCCCGGTTCCGCGGGGGGGGGGGGGGGGGGGGGGGGGGGGGGGGGATCATCTCACACCAGATAATGAGGGAGCCTGAGAGCAGGACAGTTGCCTTCTTGGATATATTAAATTGACGTTTAAGGCTTCCCACATCTTGTTCCCAAGGTCCCTCCAGGCTGGCTTTCCTCTCTTCAGTGCAGACAGCCCAGGTGCCAGGGCATGGGGTGACCTCCCCGCCCCCTCCCTTGGCCTTCTATCTCTTTGTGTCCTCTGTCTGTATTTCCCCTTTTGTGCCATGGTCCTCAGTGCCACAGGGCTCTGCACATGATTTCCTCTATCCGTGTTACCTGACTCACACCCTGCCAGCTCTACATTTCAGGTCATGGACACTTTCTCAGTGAAACCCTCTGGATTAAGTCAGTTCCTGGATCAATCCAAGAACGCATCTCCATTTTTTTTTTTTTTCCAGAACCGGGGCTTGAACTCAGATCCTTGCACTTGCCAGGCAAGCGCTTATTCTACTGAGCCATCTCCCTGGCCCCCGCATCTCCTCTTCTTGAACTCACTTGCGCCGTCATTCGTTAGGGTGACTGATGTATGTTTCTTTCCCCTTCCAGATTTTTAGGGACTGGAATCTATGAGATCTCATTCATTCTGTCCCCGGAGCAGGTACATAGTGGGTGCATATAAATACTTGTTTGTTGAATGAATTTGTGACTACTCTGCCAAACCCTCCCGGTGGCATCTGTGGTGTCCTTGGGGGTGCGGCGCCGGGATTGGTCCTCAAGGTAGTCCTAGGACTCCTCCAGCAGCTCTACTCTCAGACCTGCGACAGGCTCGGGCAAACTCGGTGCCCTGAGTCGGCTCCAGCTAAGGCTGAGGCCCAGCGAGGTTGCCAGGGCTGGGACGATGCTTCCAACGCAGGACACCTTGAGTGGGTGCTGCACGTGGCGGGCTCCCCATTGCCCTGCCGGGGTTTCCTCAGGGATGCTGCGCAGCCACCAATGAGATGTCCGGGAGCTACGTCTCTGCGTGCGACACTGATCTTTGCCAGGAGAGGGCGGTAGAGGACCTGTAGACGCAAGGTGCGAGTGTGCGGTGCTTGCAGGTCTTGCTCCTATTTTGCGGTTAGTAGGCAGTGTGTGGGAGGCCACCTAGGGCTGCTGTCCCCGCCGGGCGCCCAGAACCTGGGTGGTCAGGGGGTGCGGCTGCCTTAGACCCGGCTCCAGGCCCTGAGGGCAGCGGGCAGTGGGGTCCGGCCAGGCCGGGCGGGGGGCTGCAGTCGCGCCTACCGTGTGGGAGGGGCCCTTCGCTGGCGACTCCCCCAGGGCGCCCCTGGAGCGCCGGTGCAGCACGCTCCGCGAGCCTGAGCCAGGAGCGCGGGGAGTTTGCGCTCAGCCTGGGAAATTTAGCAACTTAGCTTCAAAGCAAGAGAACTGAGGATGGCGTTCAGGCAAAGGCCCAGGCTTCAGTGCTCAGCACCACAAAAAGACCAAAAACCTCGTTCAGGGACTTTGCGCTGGCTTTCCTTTCCCAGGCTGGTGATGGGACCCGAGTCCGGTCCACGCCCGCCCCTTCCTCTCGCTCAGCTGGACTTGGAAGGGCCGCCTCTTCCAAGGAGCCTGTCTGCCACCCAGGCCCTTCTGACCGTCCCTTCGCCTTTGTTTCTTCCTAGCACTCCTGGCCACGTAAACACTGCCCTTCACTGTGCTGTTTCCTTCCGTAGAGGGAGGGCGATCTCCTCTACAGGGCCGAGGGCTTTGTCCGGTACACCAGGGCATTCCTAGGATTAGTGCCCCGTATGCAGAAGGTGCTCAGTAAGTATTTGTCAATTGACTGAGTATAGGAAGTTGCTTGTGTTGCCACTCCCTCCACCCGGAATGCCTTCCCTTTTGTTTGTGAGGTGAGTGCTTGTGTGTTTTGTCTGGAGTCCTCTACTGGGGAATGAACCCAGGGTCTTTGCACTGAGCAGCATCCTCAGGTCCTGTGTTCTTTGAGACAAGCTCTCTCTTAAGTTGCTAAGTTTCCCAGGCTAGGTAACTTGCTGTTTCCTGTCTCAGCCTGCCAGCGTGCTAGGACTACAAGCCTGGCTCTCTGTGCCTTTCCTGGCCCTGCCTCGGCTCCTTCCATCCTAAAGGTAGACACCAGGGATGGGAAAGCAGGCTACAGGCAGAGGGCGCCGGCGGCTTTACTGAAGAGGGAGGGAAAGGGGAGAGATGGGAGGATGGAGAGGGAGGGAGAGGAGAAGGAGGGGGAAGGGGGAGGGGAGGGAGGAGGCGAGGGCGGGGGAAGGCGGGCGGGGCGGGAGCCGCGCAGGCGCAGCGGCGGGCGGCGAGGCGTCACTTCCTCCACTCCCTCCGCGCGTAGTCCCAGCGCGCCGCCAGCCCCTGCACCGGGTTGGCCTTCATGTCCAGCACGCGCTGCAGCTGCCGCGCCTTCCACTCGTCAGTCAGGGTGATGGGCTTCTCCGGGAACACTGTGGGGAAGCCGCGTGAGCGCTGTGCCCGCCGGGCCCCTCCCCCCGGCCCCTGCTGTGTGGACTTGAGCGTGTCCCCTTGCTTGTCTGAGCCTCAGACCCCTTCGCAGTGAGCACCATGTTGGACAGATACAAAGCACCCACTGAGCTGGACAGGGCTCTGGATGAGACAGGGCCTTTTGTTTTGGGGGTGTGGCTGGCTATCCCCCCCCCCAAATGAGGTCATTATGTAATTCACGTTGGCTTTGAACTCACTATGTAGCTCAGGCTGCCCCCAACCTGGTGATATTCCTGCCTCACCCTCCCTGTGCTGGGATTACAAGTGTACACCACCACACCCAGCTGCAAGGTGGTTACTGGAAAAATCTAGGAAGGTGTGGTGCATGCCTGTTCTCCCAGCCTGTGGGGGAGACTGCGGCAGGAGCATCCCAAATTTGAGTGCAGCCTAGACAACTCAGTGATTTAACAAGACATATCTGGCAGCGTGAGTGAAGGCCATGGGTTCCATCCCTAGTACAACCAATTGATCATCTGGGGAGGACAAGGCTAAATAAGGCTGAAGCGCTGGTGGAGGGATTGGAGAGGCCCTGCTATGTGGCAGGAAGGCCAAAGGCCCGAGCTTCCAGCGCCTATTCCCTGGTCACCTACCCCTGTGCTGCCCCTGTCTTCCAGGCCCCTGTCCCTGGAACTTCTATCCCCAGATGGCAGAAAGGGAGTAGATTTTCATGGGCACCTACTTGGTGCCAAACAGGGCTAGATGAGGCTGTTTCTGGAAGCTCTCCTAATGTCATCTTCAAACAGCTCAGGATTCCTGTTACCTTTTACTCAGGAAACAAAGTGAGGTCACTAAAGATGACAACTGAGGGGCCGGGGAGATGGCTCACTAGAATAAGCACTTGCCTGGCAAGCACAAAGGCCTGAGTTCAATCCCCAGTTCTGCCAAAGAACAAACAAAACCTGTCATTTTGGGGCTGGGGAGATGGCTCAGTGGAATAAAAGCTTCCCTGGCAAGTGCAAGGGCCTGAGTTCAATCCCGGGTTCCGCCAAAAAAA